GAGATATATTATATATATTGTATAGAGAGACATTTATGTAAACCTAGACATTAAATGTGATGATTATACAGAATATATGTTATATAGTATAACAAGTAGGTGATTCTTATAGCTTTCTATAGCAATATTTCTTTATCTAAGTTGCTCACAAAAGACTATTTCTGCGGTTCAATCTAATATATGCTCCCAAATATCATCTATTCAGAATTACGTTTTGGAAAATGATTGAGTCACGGAGGTGCTATACTTATGAGTAGGATAGTCTATTGTGAGTTCATAGCTGAAGGTACTATTAGGATAACAGACCCACTTGAGGCAAGAGGGTCACTGGACGTATGACCTAAAAGAGCACATTTTTGTCCTCAAATCCTCCTTTTTTTTTTTCCTTCCTGCTACTTGTTGAGTTCCTTTCCTCTACCATATTTTTTACCATGCCGTTTTTGCCTTGGAATCAGCTGACCATGCATGGACTGCACCCTTTGAAATTGAATGCTAAAATAATGTTCACCTTTAAATAATCTTTGGTATTTTGTTCCATTGTCTGAAAACTGATAATGTTTGTTAATGTTTCCATCACCTCTCATCTGCAATAATATTAATATATATGGGTGGTAATTCATATTGTAGTATGGAACATAATGCTCTGTTTTTCTTATTTTTTATGTGTGCATCAATTTATTTATTTTCCAACCTACCTGTCATCTAATTCACAGATGTTATTACGAACTACCAAATCTGTGTATGATGCTTATCTAGTGATTTTTTTAAATTTAAAAATATTGGTTTGATTTTTAGTTCTAATATTTTTATTTTGTTTTTTTATATTATCAGTTTCTTGCCTGTGCCCATAATAGCCAATATTTCTTAAAATTCACTGAACATATTTATAATAATGCTTTCATAATATTTTCAGTTAAATCAACATTAGGGTATCTTTTATTAATATTCTCCTATTGTATACTTTATATTTTGCTATTTCTTTTGTTGTATATTTATAAATTTATGATACACATTATAAATCCCACATTGGTGAAGGTTTGATTATATTGTACTCCTTTGAGGAATATTTCATATATTTTATTCATGGGTGATTAAATTTTTGACTGGTCATAATGACACTTGGAAAATTTTTGTTTATTGTTTGCTAGGACATGCCTAGAGAAGTTCTTATTCTGATATGCTCATTGTAGCAATATGGCCTTTTAGTCTCCACGGCTTCAAGGATCTTGTAGTGAAATTTCTAAGCACTAGACAGTAGCAACTCCAGATCTCCTGGGTCTATGGGAACCTTGGGATGCCCACTGAGCTCACAGTCAATTCTCCATTACTTAATTATCCCAAGCATCAAGGTATCTCAGTCTGTACAAAAGGAGCTCTATATCTGGCCAAATGCTCAGGGAGAGGGTTATACGAATTTCGGGTGTGCCTCCCTCTTGGTTTTCTTTCCAGAGCCGATTTGTAAATTTTTCCTACCTCTTCCTTCCCAAAGTCTGATAGATGGTTTTTCTTCCCACAGATAGAGCTGATTTCTGAAGGTTTCACTTCCCTGTGCTATCATATGAAATAGGACCTAAGGCAGAATGTCAGGGAATGTGAACTTCAGATTATGTGTCTCCCATTATAAAATGGATTAAAGACATGGACGGACTTTACGACGGAAAATAAATATTTTATAAATGAGTTGACTCTTACCTTTGTTTATGATGTATGTTTAGTCTGGATGCATTGCCCGAAGCTACATCAAATAAAACTATTAGACTGGGTTGGGGAAGAACCACTTAACAAATCTGTGGCTTCTTATTTTCTTAAAGGGTTCCATTTCACGTATCTTTTTGTGTGCTGCATTATCGGCTCTCAGGAAATCTTCATAACCTTTTTCTCCTTGAAAGTGTTTTATTATTACTCTGTTTTATAAACAGTAAAAGTTCTATGTCTACTCTTTGTTTGCAATGTATTTTGAAATATTCTCATATTGCTTGCTATGATTTTTACTGACCTAAAATAAATTACCTGAATTTCTTGAATGTGCTGATATGGTAAAAATATCTTTCTTTGATGAGACAGAATTGTTTCAGGCTTATGTGTTTTATTTCAATAACTACAGGCACAATATTTATATATTCAGTAATTAAATGGAGTTACCATAACATTCTAATCTATTATTTAAAAGCATCACAATTACTTTTGATTTACTTTGTGTTTTAGAGCAATTTTAGAACAATTTTATTGAAAAGTCTGAACTTTGGTTTAAACACAAAAACACAAAGTATTTAATTTTTCTCCAATCACCCATACTTTACTAAATATATATTTTCTTTCCTACTGTGTGGAAGATATTATCAATATTTTAGGAAAGTATCATACATTTCTAAATGATTTGGGTCATTTTTAAAAACTTCAATTAATTCAAATTTTGCGTTCTGATTTCTGTTCCATAGCACTGAGAAATGAGAGAAACGGGAAGTGTGGTCTGAGTTTTATTCCTTCTTCACTTCCTTCCTTAATTTGGAGAAGAGCGTGCATTAACTGTATCCAGGACCTTTCTCCTTTCTTCATTCTGAGTGTCTAATTATTAGAGTTCAGACATGGAAGGCAAGAAAAAAAAATTATGTGCATCTCTGTCACCTAAAAGGTTTCTTTCTGTCAATTGTGAGAATGTTTCTGATCTATTCTCTTAGTGCAGAAAACTAGAAATGCCAATTTTCTAACCAAGCATATATGAGTGATTTGGGCTTTCTTTAATAAATCCCTCACAGCCATCTTTACTTGATTTGCAGTCTCTGCCTAATTTCATCCCCCTACCTGCATCAGCTTCCATACTTAAATCCCAAATGAGACTCTACTTTGACACCTGAATGTGATATCAACAAGATTATAACCTAGGAAGTCACTGAAATCTAAGTGGAATAACTGAGCAAGAGTGCTTAGCATACAAAAGACTATAAATTAGATTACCTTCAAAATTTAAAAAGCAAGTTTTCCCACAATGGTTACAACTAAACATAAAATTGCTGTACAGGTCAGAAAATTAACACAAATTACTTGAATGTGAAAAGGAAATAATCACCATGAAAAGAAATCTATTTTCCTCTGAAACTTTGAATACAATTCTTTTTATTTTTTTGAATATGTTTATTGAGTTTATTGGTACATTGTTGGTACACAGCACAATTACATTCGTTATTGGGATCTTGTACCTCTACATGACAGGTCTTGATTCTCATTTTCCCCCTTGTCCCTGCCCTCCCTTCACCCCTTCCTCCCCTCCCCGCTTACAAACACTTTATTTCCATTTTTTCATTTAAAATAAAATGCTTCTGTTGTAACTTGTATTCACTCTTTAAAAGTTATCATGACCGTGATGAATTTTTTCTCAGTGATTATCTTCCATATTTGCTAAAACCCTTTACAGAAAGAAAATACAGCTGGAGCTCTTGTCTCCACATCCTTCCTTCTCCCTCTTATTATGTCAGTGGGGAAAGCAGCACACCTTCCTAACCGGTCAGATATACTCTATCTATGTTTTGGTGCTTAAGTCCATTATTAGTTTTCCGTGTAACTAAGTCATTATCTCTTTTGCTTTCCACAACGTATGTCATAGTGTGAAGGTAACTGTGAATCTTTCAATAACTTCTTCCTTTAAATGAGATTAATTAGCAATAGGAATCCATTTACAATTTTATATTGTTTTTTATTATAAGGAGGATTTACACAGAGAACCAATTAATATTGAAGATAATAGGAATGTGATATTGTTGTGTATGAATCATTGCCATTTAAAACCAAGAATACCTAGACAAAATTTTCCTTAGTTGGTGGTCTATTTATTTTCTAAATAGCATTTCTTTTGGAACTCTCTGGGCCTTCATTATATCAATTTATATCTTACATTCCTTCTCTAAACTTTTTTCCTGTCCTCTCATGCTTCTTTCCCTCCCTTCCCTTTCCTTCCTCCCTAATATAATCTAACGTTTTTAACCGTTGACTGGTCAGTGTCATCCATTCAGCCAAAGGAAGCGTTCCTTCCTGGAACTGTCTTAATGTTGTGATAAATCTTTCAATATATCCTTCCACATTTGCCCAATCACCATTGCCACTGGAGAATGACATACTGCCAATGTAACAATTTACTGAGCAGAAGCTATGTGAAGTCACTGGTGATAAAGAGAGTATCTTACAAGGGCCTGGATTTAGCTCAGTGAAAGAAAGCAGCTTACATAACTCTAACAAGAAATGTATCACATCCTACCAGCATGTTTCGTCAAGCATCTGTCTTTTAGCTTTTTTGCCCGAAAGATATACAATTTAGAATTTTTTCATAGCTTGTAAACCAAGTACAAAAGAAGACAGTCCACATATGAAATGAGAAAACAACACACTTTCTTATGTGTATATCGTTGACTATGTTGGAAACATCAGTCAGGAGAAGATATTTGCCATGCTTTTTCTATTTTCACTTAAATGTGGAAGCTGTTTTCACTCCTGAAAAATGATCTCTTCCTTTAAGAAATATTTTAAAGTATTTAGCAGAAAAATTATCTTTTTTGTTATTAAAGTAAAAAAGATTTTTTTACTTTTGTGATAGACAACCTGTTTTCTTGTGCTATGCAAATACATTTAATATGCAAAGGTATTCAGAGAGCCTGCTGGCAGGGCAGATTACCATAAATTAAGTAGATGAGAAAGAAGAAATACATTGATTTGAGGCTTGTGAAAATGCAATAGATTTATAGGAACTGAGCAATTTGATACTTATGCTTATATGTTCTCTGTGCCTTATAATTGTAAACAGTCTGTTGGCATCGCATAATAAGAATACATAATTATTCTTCTATTGTGATGATTTTTTGACGTTTCAATGGTGTGAAATTGTGTAGATACATTTTGCTTAATTTTATGGTAATAACAGAACAACTAACAACAAAAATATGATGGAATATTTTAATTTCTATGCAGTATGATGAATCACAAGCTAAACTGTTTATTTGTTCTATTCCTAGGTGAGAATTATAAGTCACAACTGCCTAAAATCAGTGAACTGAAAATGTATGAACAAGAAAATACAGAAAATATAATTACACTTCACTGTTTCAGGTAACAATATAATTCAAATGTAGAAAAGCCCTAGACAAGGGTTAAAAAGATCATATTCTATTAATATGTTTCATGAACTTTATACAGTAAACTATTTTTCCAAAGCTCAGTTCATTCAAGTATAAAATGAAAGTTGAGAGTATAACCTCAATATGCAACCATTTTCCTAAGAATGACTCTAATTTCTCATTCTTTATGGCTGAGTAGTATTCCATTTTATAGAAAAACCACATCTTCTTTATCCAGTTTCCAAATGATGGGCAAATGGGCTGTTTCCAAGCTGAAATAAATAAGTTACACATGTGTAAATACCAAATAGTTTCTCTGGTGTGAAAAGCTATAATTGTATATAAGATCCCAATGGTATAACTGACAATGTGAAATAGGGAGAAAAGGGTTAAAGGTGTAGGGGAAGTGGGAAGGGTAGCAAAAAGGATATAAGGCAAAAGAAAAAATATGAGAAAATGAAAAAAAATGGAAATGCTGTTTTTGTAAATAGGAAAGGAAGGAGGCGGTGAAGGGAGGGCAGGGGTAAGGGGAAAAAATGAGAACGAAGACCTGTCATGTAAAGGCATTAGATCCCAATGATGAATGGAACTGTACTGTATACCTCAAAAGTGCCAATAAACTCAATGAGAAAAAAATGAAAGTTAAAAAATAAACATGGACAGTCTTTTTAGAGATAAAATTTATGAAATAATAATTTAATGAAATTCTGGCAGTGCCACTACAGCAAACACCTTACCTACATCCCTCTTTGTTTTCCTATTCCTCCATTTTATTTGTCTTTTCTCTTATCCACTATTAGTCTCTTTATATACTTGAGATGTTATGGTTATTTTTTTCCTTATTGCATTTATTGGTACATTTTATGTATGCAGTACAGTTACATTCATCATTGGGATCTTGTACCTTTACATGACAGGTCTTGGTTCTCATTTCTCCCCTTTGTCCCTGCCCTCCAGATGTTATGAGTTTGAGCCAACATTCCCAGATTTCTGCATTGTCATGCATGTTCCACAAACTGTAGATTTGGTTGGCTTCATGAATTGTAGAACATCCCCTGGAAGCTTCAGTTGTAGTGTAAGTTTAGATGAACAACATCTTGCAAATTTGGGGCCATGGTTTATGCAATGAGTTGTGCAATGATCTGTGGCAGAGCCCATATCTCCTTTTGTTTGAATAAATGAAATAAAGAGCAAGGATGAAAATAAGAGTAGTATACTTAAGTGCAAGAATAATAATATACAATTAATTCTATTAAAATGGAAAATTTTGAGAATGAAAATGTCCTAGTAAATTATCTAAATTTAGGTAATGATTGAAATTTGAAAGTAATAACTGATAATATTTTTAATTGTACCTATTGTCCTTCAAAGAGATGCCTTTATTAAATTGTATAGTGAAGTAAAACAGAACTTACAATTTTCAAAATATTTATTAAAAAGGACACTTATAGCAAATCATAATGTTCAATAAGAACTAGGTTCAAATTATTGTAACAACTTATTCAACTATAAGTATTTCAAATGCGGAATTAGTAAAGCACTCTAGCCTTCTATATTTCAAAGATGAGACTTCTGATGATTCTCACAATTTCCTAGTTTCCAAGTTATAGTAAAACCTCAGTCAGACCTCAATTCCCCAAATCTGATGTACAATCTCCCTGTGACTAACGAGAGCTCAGAATATATCTTTAGCACCTTTCTAGGACATATATCTTTTAAAAACCCTCTCAGGGTCTACCAAGCTGGTCCCTTTTGTAAAAATTTAAATACACTCAGCTTTACACAATGAACAGGCTTTCTTATGAATGATAAGCAAACCTTCATAAGAGATCTAGGAGAGAGTGAGATGGGAAAAGTGTGTTAATTGCCCAACAACATTACAAAAACTTCACAAACTATGTGGGAATCCACAATCCTGTTTATAAGCATTGCGGAGTTACTAGTAGCACAGTTTACTACAAAATTGAAAAATCCAGAGGAATGTTAAACTGGTAGAGTTATGGGACAATTTACATAAAGTATGATGTATGGGTACCAGCAAAAGAGGATACATGATTATTATTTCTCTAATATGCTTATGCACCATATCTGATCGTTCCAATACTCAGTACACTGTAATAATCTCAACGTCCAAGAGTAGATTTTTTTCCTCTCAGCAAAGGATATAAGAATTTGAGTTAACCACTGAACCTCATGTAGAGATTGATGACACCATGCTGCCTGAGTATCTTTGTATCATTAAATTAGCAGGTACATAAGAGGATTATTGAGCAATCCAAATTAATAGGTCTTGAATATCAAGGGGATATAGAGTTGCCACACAACCCTGGAAATTAATAGAAAGTGTGTAAACCCAAGAAAACTACAGTACCTAATGCTTCTTCTGGCCGATCTCAGCAGCTGTTTATTCAAGGTACACATTTTCTATCTAAGGAAGTGAAGACCAGATGAAATTCTCTGAGAGTCCTGATATAAAATTTAATGTGCATATATAACTTCAGATCATGGAGAATCAACTCAGGCCTTTTCAGAAATTTGATTTGTTTTCTGTTATTTCAAACCCTAGTCTATTAATGAGTTACTGACAACTTTAGACTGATGGTTTTCATGTAAAAATATTCTGCTGGACAACATGTAGCCACTGAGTAATTTAACAACCAATTTTTGTTTACTTTGGTGGTTATCTACTGTTTTTGTTTTGGCTGAAATTGAATTGTGTTTCCGAAATTTGTGTTTCCTTCCTATCAGGTACACTATTTCAGTAACACAGCTTTCCACATGCACTTTTGGCCTTTTAAGAACATCTTACGTTGGACATTTTAAAGATGGTATTTCCTTATCTAAGAACTTCTTTCTTTTCTCCCTCCTAATCTTCTTGTCCTTCACTTATTTCCTTTGTTAGCCAGTGTAAATACCTCTTTCTATTCACTATTAAAGTTAATCATAATATCAGTGAAGATACAACCTTACCAAAAAATTAAACTGAAAATGACTTGAATCTATTATCATTTTTTTTTTAATTTCTTGTCTCCAGTTGAGATAATCACTAGTGTGTGTCTCTTGGTTTTATGGTGAAGGAGTTTCCTAAAATCAGATGTCATGTTTTCAATCCTTTGAGCTTCTGGTACCTTAAAAATTTTCAGATTCATTCTCTTATCATCATAAATGTTTTTATTAATCCATTCAATACAGACAAGTTTTGAGTAGAGGATTTATTGAGGCAATAAACAAAATTAGAGCCAATCTAAACTGCTTAAATTTGGAAATGAATTCAGAATTTCTGGCAAGTATATCCATATTATAAAATAAATTGAGTTTTACCTAAAACTGTATTTTCCCATTGATTTTAGAACCCTCAGATATATTCTAGAACCACACATAATTCTTAAGGTAACTACGATTTGTTTTCATATTTTTCCAATTATGATGGAGTATTTGTATTTTTCTTCATACATCTGGTTTCTGTTTTGCCGTTGCCTCGTGGAACACAGAAAGCGTCAATTCGAGCTATAGATCTCAAGGCAATGAGAATGACGGCCTTGGGAAGTGAAAATAATTACTGCAACTATTTCTGATAATCTAATTGCTGAATCTTCAAACAAGGCAGGAACAATTTAATCAGATGAGTGAAGATCAAGCTGACACAATCATCATTCTGGTTTACTGAGTTTCTTTAGTAGTAGATAGACTAAATAGAAGAATTTACTATGAAAATTCTATTTCTTAAAATCCAGTGCGTTCCAAGTTAATTCTCAGATAGGAGGTTTGCTGGCCTGCAGAAACAACAGAAGTATCAACTAATTATCTGCAGGATAGTAAGTGAATTTTAAAAATTTGGGAATATAGGTATAGTTAACAGCCTTCATGGAAATTTCTTCTTGTTTTGATGCCCCTAGGAACAAATTTTAAAATTTTTGCTCATTTTTTCAAACACTAGTTAAACCATTCAAATTAATTTCTTCTTTTTATTGTTTCTTGGTACATTTTTGGTATATAATACAGTTATATTCATCATTAGGATCTTGTACCTTTATATGATGTATCTTGGTTCTTCTTTTTTTCGCATTCCCTGTCCTCCGTTCTTCCTCTGCACCCTTCCTTATTTACAAAGACTTTGTTTCCATGCTTTCCTTTTCTCATATTGTTTTCTTTTCCCCTTCTTTCCTTTCCCCTACCACCCACTTCCTCTACTCCATTCAAATGAATGCCTTATGTCTATCTCCTAACAACTCTAAAAACATTTACCATAGTCATTACTCAGTCAACAACATTTTTTCAAAAGACATTTCATTGTAGCTAAAATTCATGACCTAATTTATCATTTCGTTCCAATATCCTGTTTATCTAATAACTATCCCAGAACTGTCAATCAAATATCTATCAGTCAAAATTCCAGTGCTCTAGAATTGCTATTTCTTTTTTTTTATTATTATTATTTTTTCAGCTTTAATTGAGTTTATTGGTACATTTTAGGGATACAGTACAGTTACATTCATTGTTGGGATCGTGTACCTCTACATGACAAGTCTTGATTCTCATTTTTTCCCCTTACCTCTGCCCTCCCTTCACCCCCTCCTCCCCTCGCCATCTACAAACACTTTATTTTCATCTTTTCATTCTCTCACATTTTTTTCTTTTCCCTTTTCACTCTTCCCCTACCCATCCCATCTTCCCTACACCTTTAGCTCCTTTCTTCCCATTTCTAAATGTCAGTAATCTTATTAGAATCTTATGCATTATTGCAGATTATTCACACCAGGGAAACTATTCGGTATTTACACATGTGTGACTTATTTATTTCACTTAGTAGTATATCTTCAATATGTATCCATTTTCCTATGAATGAATCTATTTTCTCGTTCTTTATGGCTGAGTAATATTCCATTTTATAGAAAAACCACATCTTCTTTATCCAGTTTCCAACGGATGGGCAAATAGGCTGTTTCCAAGATT